GAAGCACTTGAACGCAGTATTTTCGAAACATTTATGGAGGATTCAAAGAAGTATCGGTTCAAGCGGCACACCTATTTCAGGTGAAAACCATGCTCGTAAGTCCAGATCAGTAGATTTCTTAGGAGACGGATTAAATTGGTGTTGCGGAGTGTTGACCAAACACTCAGTAGATCCACTTTTTGTGAATGAACAAAAAATCAAAAATAACATGGATAAACTGAGTTTTGCTGTAAATCAAAATCATGCTGATTTAATAAATGTCGTAGGGTCAATTAGAAATTACAGTTCACAGTTGTCATCAGTGCTTACTCATAGCCGAAAGTATGCAGAAGAATTGACAAGTCGTCTAGATGTCTTACAAAAAAGTATAAAAAACCATCTTAAAACCGAAGATGATTCAATCAGTTTTATTTGGGAATTTCTATTAGAACATTCTATTCAAAATCTTAACACTTTGCAAATTTTTAATGAATACGAGGTTATAAGTAGGTGTCGTGATAATAAAATTCCAACGGAAATTATAGAGCCTCTAGTATTAAAAGCTGATTTAGAGAAACTTGATAAATCCTTGATAAATAATGGTCATGAGTTAGTAATTAAGCCCACAGATGTAACAAAATATCTGCGATTGAATATAGCTACGTGCATTGCGACGGAAAACTCTATCATTGTAACAGTTAGACTACCAGTTAAAAAAGTAGATTACGAATGGAAATTATATCGGTTACTTTCTGTTCCGTTCGCTTGGAAATCTGAAACTTGTGTTTTCACGGAGGACGAAGTGTTGATTGCGAAACACAATGCAGAGATAAAAGTGATAACTGGCAACGCGTTGAAGAATTGTGATGTTAAAAAGAATTTATGCTTATTACCTAGATCGAGTTCTACGTCGGTGAAAGATACCGCGTGTTTCACAAATTTGGCAGAAGGCGCACAAATTTCAGATCTAGTTGAAACTTGCAAGCCTTTCTGTTTTTCAAATAACAGTACTATTGTGAATCAAGTTGAACCTGAAAAATTCATTATTTCACACCCACCCACTAGCATGCTATTAAAATGCTACGATAAAGTAGAAAACATAAGTATGGTACACGAGTCTGAGTTAGGATCAATAGAAATTGAAGTTCCGTGCTTTTGCTCATTACAATCGCCGAAATTACTTTACTTGGTTGCCGAAACATTTCCTTGTGATGCAAAAAGCATTGAAAAATTTGAAATAAGACACATTCTTCCAGCAACCTGGTCTAAGTTTGAATCATTTAAATTAAAACCGCTAACAACACATACACATTTGACATTTGAAAACTTTTCTGAATGCTTGAATCATAATTGGAAAAAAGTTATTCCGCAGTTCACTGTACAAAATAATAACAACAAAAATAAAGATGAATTTGATTTAGAAAATTTTGAATTACAACAATTTCCATGGCGAGAAGTCCATACACATAGTATGAATTTTTTGCACATCGTAAATCTTATAGCAACCGTACTAACAATTGTAATACTAATAAAAAATCCTTACTTGATAGGTATAGGATACTTACCAAGGGTAGAAGCGAGTGGTTGGAGTGATGTTTTAATCGGGGTAAACGTTTTTGGAATAGTTGTCATTGTAACAATTTTTATTTTGTGGTTGATCTATCATTTTCTTTCAAAAAGACAAGAAACTCAAAAAGATGTTGAAAACAATAAGTCATCGAATAAAAATAAATTGGAGGAAGTAGGTCAAGTAGATAAGAAACCAATGAGGTTAAAGAAAGGCAAAGAGGTAATTAGTCAGCTACAAGAAATACATAAATCGGGAACTAAAAATCAAGAATAAATTTGAAGAACTGAGCTCAGCAGAATTTAGAAAATGAAATCTTGATCAAGTGGATTGAGAAAAGGGGCCTTAATCAGTAGAATTAGGAAAAAAGGGATCATGATCAGAGAAAAAAAAAGATTTTTAGGTAGTAGAATTAAGGAAAAAACGTATGAATTATAGGATGAATGGTGTATGTATGCGGAAGCGGAAGTTGTATGAAAGAGGGAAGAAGTAATTTTAAGAAAAACACATGTTTTTTGTGAATTTGACATAAGACTATGTATTTTGGGGAAAGATAACTCTTACTTTTTTTTTGTACACTCAGGTGAAGTTTACACTTCGTATAGAGTTGAGTTTCGCGGTGTAATGCGACGACTATGTAGTATTGCACTAGTCGTGAATCTTGTAAAATAGTTTTAGGAGGAAAAAAGGGGTGAAAATAAATGAAGGCATAAAGAATGTGTATTTATGTATTTTGTGAAACTTCTAAGCATGTGTCTGCGTAATTTTTTTTTATGTTCTAGTGGTTGGCTCGTCGTCCCCGATGGTTCCGAACGTTGAAGAGTACTTCGTCGTTGGGTTGGCCAAATGTCGAGGTCGACATTTATCAATGGTGGGGAGTGTCGCGAGAGCGCCCTCCTAGGCAGAACACCCTGTACCTGCTACATGCTTCCACCTTCACTCAACCAACGGCGGTGTGCTGTCCTGAGTCAGCAGGATTCTCAGCGTGCGGGGCACGGAGGGAGACCACGCAGCTCAAGCCCACGTCAATCATTTTATTGCAATGGGAATGCATTTTGTATAATTAACAATTCAGTTGTACTGCTACCACATAACTTGTAAGATCTATCAGTCAACTCCCCAATACACCCCTTTTTGCCGACACTGCTCTAGTTATTGAACTACCATAGCTACGACCCCATACCCCTACGTCACAATATGATTGCAAAATGCCATAAACGAATGTCCAAAACGGCTTCGTTACTGAGATACAGAGTGATTTGTGGATTTTGACAAAAAATTCAATCCGCCATATAAAATACAGGGATTAGCCGATTGGATTCAAATTTAGTACACGAATTACACTGAAAAGCGTCAACAAGTAGCCCTTTGATCGAAACCAATATCAGGACCGGAATAATATTTTTCCCTTATGTTGAGTTATTGTTAGGATAACTCACCCTGTATCATAATAACCAAAAATTTTAACTCAGATTCGCAATCTACGGTGAAAATTGTATAGGAATTTGTTGAAAAATCTCCTGGCACCATCTTAGTTATTCCGTAATTAATTATTTCGATTTTTTTCATTGAAAAATCAATCATTGTCGGATAAAGTACGTATATTCACGAAACCATGACATGAATGTCGTTATTTTCTTCGATCAGTTCATGAATCGGAGTAAAATGAAATATTCTCATAACCCGAAAAAACTGAAGAATAAATTCGTATCGGGACTGGAATGAGTGTTTCGTTTGGTCATGTTAGCTGACCTAGTACATCTATAGTTATCAATAATCTGATCGTAGATTCGGAATCTAAAAAAATCGTATAAGAACCTGTTAAAGAAGGATTACAGTGAAGTTTTCGTAAATTATATTCGCTCACTAATGAATTTGAATTTATGAGAATACTACACAACGAACAATAACTGTTTGTAATGAACATAACAAAAGCTACGAATTCGTGATAAACTTCCACTACCCAGTATTACAAAACATTTTCGAAGTAGAGCCCTCCAACATCAATACATTTTTGAGAGCGTGCTATTAGATGATTCACTGACTTGCAAATTATTTGAGGGTTATTTCTAACACTAACACATGCAGCAGTAATTTCCCATAAAAAAATTCTTCATTATGAACTTCTTACTTTAAATGACTTCATAAAAAATAATCTAGCTGAGTTAGATCAGGGGATAGCGGTGGCCAATTTACTGAACCTCCACGGTCAATCCATCTATTGGGGTAATTGGCATCGAGATGGTTTCTAACTGGAAATGAAAAGTGAGGTCTAGCACCATCATGCTGAGACCATATACCTCAGGTATTTACACCTTGCAATAGATCCGGTCAAGTATTGACCAGGAAATTTAGGTAAACATCACCAGTTAAAGCCCAAACACAAATAGAATATCTGCGTATTCCTCATAAGTGAAATGAAACGGCATCATAAGCACACTCTCAGAACTATAGTTTGATCCTAAAAACACTGGAATAATGAATGAACACCAATAAAACATACGCTGATGACAGCTGAACAATGGTTTTCCATAATGAAATTCTGAATTTGACACAAGCCCAGTATTCTTCATACACAAACATTATAAGGTACTGATACGGATTTATTATTTGAAAGTTCAATCCGATCATTTTTTTTAACTTTTCTCAGTGCATTTCGAATCTGCGATCAGATCATTGTTATACTAGATCATCTATTCTTACAGGAATATAATCATAGAAAACCGCATTCCAGTCCTGATACAAATTTATTTTTCAGTTTTTTCGGGTAATGAGAGTATTTTATTTTACTACGATTTACGGACTGATTGAAGAAAATAACGATATTCATGTCATGGTTTCGTTAATATTTATTATATTACCAATTTTGATAGTACTTTATCCGACAATAATTGAATTTTGAAAGAAAAAAATTAAAATAATAATTAATTACGGAATAATTAAGATAGTGCCAAGAGATTTTTCAACAAATTCCTATACAATTTTTACCGTAGATGTCGAATCTGACTTGAATTTTTTTGTTATTATTATACAGGGTGAGTTATTCTCACAATAACTCAACATAGGGGAAAAATATCATTCCGGTCCTGATATTGGTTTCGATCAAAGGGCTACTTGTTGATGCTTTTCAGTGTAATTCGTGTACCAAATTTGAATCTAATCGGTTAATCCCTGTATTTGATATGGCGGATTGAATTTTTTGTCAAAATCCACAAATCACTCTGTATGTCAATAACGAAGCGGTTTTGGACATTGGTTTATGGCATTTTGCAATCATATTGACAGTCCCTATAACCCCACAAGTCTTGTCGGTTTTATCTCCGGACACCCTGTATATGAAGAATATTTCATGATTGTTGATTAGACGAAACCTAATTATATATAAGATTATCCCTTTGTGTAACGTATTGTACTCAGTTGTATAAACGAATTGAATAAATCATTGCATTTTCAGGTATTCATCCAACCAGATATACATTTCGCCCAAAAATCCCAATTTAAAGATAGTTTCTGCGTAGACAACGTACGAGAAGGCCTTATTGTATGCTTCATGCATCATTTCACAGCTACAGCAAGAAGTTTTTGTTCTAAAGGTGCAGCAGATCCCAAAATACCTCCTACTTTACTCCTCCTTCTCTCCAAACTCTGTCTAGATTTCAGAAATGGTAGTGTACGTTTTTTGGTGAGTTTAGTAGACCAGTATTGGCAGTATGTTAAGATTCCCAATCAATATTTCTCAAAGTGCCTCAAAAGCCTATTTCATGATAATTATTCTATGAAACGATTTGAAGCATGAAATTATTGCTCCTGCCATAGCAGTGCCGTTCGAAGAAAACAATTAGTTATTCGTAGTTGAATGATACTGAATTATTTAAAATCTGCGCAGAGAATTTGTATCATTATGTAAATATCATGTATTTTCAGAAAAAAATCGTACATTACTGTATCCCACAACTCATATTATTTCCAGACATTTTTGTCACCTCCTAAACCGGAGGTAAACTTTCATGTTTTTATTAGGACCTCAGTTGAATATTTTTCTCATTTGCATTGAGATATTGTGTTCTTGTTTTACTTGATAGTTGATTGTATTCAATTCAGAAATCTTTTGAAACATGAGAAGATTATGTAATTTATGTCCACAAGCATAACAAAAATCAAAACAAATTCGAGAATTGATATTAGACTTCTATAAACTGGAAATGATTAACAATGAGAATTAATTTAGTCTGGGAAAATAAGAATTAACAGTGAGAATTGATTCAGTCTAAGAACATATGGAAATAATATTGGATTTCCAGAGCTTTCTAGATTCCATGACTGCTTTTTTCTATTTAATGAAGTTATTTCCCTTGTCACTTGTACACTTCAATTATTTTCTAGCTGTCACAAACAGATGAGTTGTTTAATATCTATCCCAAATATAATGCGGCCTTGACGAATGAGAATGAAATAAATAATACAATGCAAGAGTCTGCTCAAGAGTTATTGAATTATTATGTGAGGATCCAAGCACTGAATTGTTCTCAGGTGAGTACGGAATTTACAGAGAAGAGTTACTTACATTACAAGGTGTTTTAAGTACAAGAACACGTGTGTATTTTCAAATAAAATTGTTTTTCCATAATCTTGTGTCCTTAAATGCACCTCCGAGCTACTCCTTTCCCTAAAATTATGATCACGTCATTTTCAGGGTAAAAAATCAGAAGGGCGCTTCAAATTGAAATTTCCGAATGATATTTTGAATAGATTTTTACTACAAACAAACTGTTGTAAGGTGAAGAACAATAGAAAAATCAATAATTATTTATTTATGGATGGACGAAAATAATAGTACATTTTGTGCTGCTTCTTCGATATCACTCAATCTGGAATTGAATCAGCCATTTTCCACTAATGAAGATTTCTATTGAGTCTATTTTGTGAACTTTGATTTTTGATTTTTCACCATCTATCATTGTTTGACGGATACTTCAACTGTATTGATAAACTATTAATTTCATGTACAATTTGCAGATGTTGAGAAAAAGCGTTGAAACGAGGGACTGGCTGCATACGATTGAGCCTCGGACCGTTCGTGCAGTGATGAAAAGGGTTGTTGAGGATATTTCAGCTATTGATGCTACGGTAGCGTTACTGTATGAAGACCAGGGCAACGTAACAGAACACAGCAGTGATTCTAGTCGCAAAGCACATAGGTGTGTACTGATTTTTTTAGAATTTCAGTATTACTTATTTCACTTCTACAAATCCTCAAATGAACCTTGATTACTAAGTTGCAGCTAATGAAAATGTGTCAATAGAGCTGTTAAATTTCTAAATAACTCCGATGATGCAAATATTTTTGGTAGTATTGGGTATTATTTCATTTCATGTCAGCTCCAATTAATTCACAAAATTCACACTGTTTGATACATATTGATGGTACATTTATTGCAACTTTTTTCTTATTTGAAACTGTTTTTCTGGAAATCACATCTACTTTTGATTTTTGAATGAAACCCTCTATATTATTATATTATTGAAATTCACAATATACTCTGATGCTACTTCATGGTTTATATTTCAATGATCAGAATGCTTAATTTCATCTCTTTTCAAAAGACACAACACAAACGCTTATTTCGAAAGTCTTGTAGTGAGAATGAAATGGATATTCTGACAATTGAAAAATGTTGTGTGTGAAATGATTCTATTCTATTTAAATTCAAATACCTCAAAAAAATCAATGACATATTTCATAAAATCATCGAGAAGAAAATACTGTTCAAATATAGTTATTTTATTATACAAGGGAAAGAAGTAGTACATTTCAGGTCGAGGTTGTGTTGTCTTCGGACGTGTAGCGGAGGGAGACAGAAAACCGTGAGCTGAAATCTAATATTTTTCCCGTGTATAATACACTATTTTTCGAAAAAGTCGTGGAAACCATCCATTTTGTCAAAGTGGTCCAGAATTTTTCAAAGGAAAAATACAAAAAACCCAAAGTCGATCGACCATAACAAATTTATTACATAAGACGTGTAACTAGTTAGGTTAAACACATTGAAATGGGGGTTGTCAGCCGAAAAAGGCAGTCCTAATTGTAAAAAACTAATTTATAGCGGCTGAACAACCAGAAAGAAATTAAAGAACTAAATTGAAAAAAAAAATCACTCAAAAATTCATTGAGATCATCGTATGTGGGCTGGCGGCCATAAGACTATTTTTTTCTGTGGCAGGAAAAAGTACGAATCAATATTGAGAAGATATTACATTATATTGAAATCAGAAGATCATCGATGTGAAATTTGAAGTTTTTAACAGGATTTACACCTGTATTGCTGGCATCTTTTTGTACATCTTTATCATTCTCTTGCAATAATCAAATGTATGTCAGTATAATTCTGTGATTTGATTTTAAAAAACTTAGTGGCTGTTTAGTAATTTACGTCACCGCGGAAGTGGAATGAAAGATAAAAAGCTTTGCTCTTTTTTCTTGGAGACAGTGTTGTTGGATTATTTTTCGGAACTAGCACAACAAATGCTATGTATGTACATGGGAGAAAAGTACTTATTTTTCCTCTGGGAAAAAAGTAATTTATAAAAAATTTTATAACCTGTCGACAGAGATGGAATGTCAAACTTTTTTCCCGTAACAGAAAAAATAATATTTGAACAGTATTATTATCCTGATCAATCATCAAAAATGAGAAATGACACTTCTGCGGCATGTGATAATATGTTTTGGAAATGATGATTCATGCCCATTCATTTTCGGTATATTTTCTTTCCTATTATAAACATATTTCTTCATCAATCATCATCATACTAAAACTTGATTTAAAACGAACAAATTCAGATAATTCATAGAAAGGTATATTACAACATGCTTGTCTAAAAGATCAAAATAACTACTGATTATGCTCCTATTAATGTCCTAAAAGATGACGACTTGAATTCCCTTAAAAAATAATACTGAATAATGTTGCCTCTTCCCCTTTATATCATTCTCAGGTTTATTTCAATAAGTTCTATAAAAATGCAGCGATTAAGTTATCATATTTGAATAATTTATTAAGTAGTTTATCCAATAACTAATGCAAGGATCAAAATTAAATAACCAATCTAGTAGTGTGTACAAATTAAATCTCATTGGTAGTGTGGGTATTTTTAAATATTTATAACTGTAAAATAAGTTATTGCACCAACAGTCAGATTATTTCAGATTCTTCAAAGAATCAGGAATTATCATGGATATAATCTGACTATGAAAAGATCATCTATATTTGTTGAAATTACTAGAAAGAAATTCGATAATTGTGTTTGAATTAAAGTAAATATACAGGGTGTTTCTTAAGTACGTGTAGAAAATCTAGGAGCATGTTGCTGACGTCTAAATAGGAAGAAAAGTTCGTATGAACATGTCCGAAAGTTATCCGTTTCTGAGATACAGAGTGTCAAAGTTGAATTCTTATTGAAAGAGTTCAAAAAAGCAGGTACAAATAAGTAAGAATCATATTTTGTCTACATTCCAATGTTAAATGAAGAAGAATATTGAATGAAAGAAGAAAAATGCACTGGTGTATCTTTTCTGATATTCACTAGAGGCGAGTTACGAGCCACATGGAAATAATTCGAATGCATCGATTATTTCGAATTCCAATAACTCGAAAACAGTTGCTCGCAGCAACCTCGACCAAGAATATATTTTTTACACAAAAGTGTTCTAGAAATCTATCTTTTTACTATGAAACGTTATACAGGTACGCACAAAAAAGTTATAATTTTTCAAAAGACTCAAACCCCCACGAGAGAGACAAACTAACATTAAATTTGACTTTGTCATTGAAGAATACCCCTAGATACCAAATTTTATTCCGATATTACAATTATTTCGAAATTTATTAAGAAAAAACAAAAATAAGAATTCAACTTTGACACTCTGTATCTATGAAACGAATAACTTTCGGACATATATTTATACGAACTTTTCTTTTTATTTTGACGTCAGCAACACGCTCCTGGATTTTCTACACGTACTTAAAGAACACACTGTATAGTATATAAAACTATAGGTTACGTTAGGTTCCATGTAAGTGGGGCGAATACCGCCACTCCACTGTGACCCCAGATGGATCTATTGTGGCTCACCTCTAGAGGTTACAGTTCAGTGTACAATCAACTTTTTTTACGAAGGCCATGGTTGAATGAGGTGAGATTTGTTCAAAATCGATAAGTTCTAAATTGGTAAAGCCAAATATGTCGAACCTTAGTCCCTCTAAGCAAGAGCATGAACATAGTATGTGTTCAGCCGTTTCGTCTTTCACACAGCAGAACCGACAGGCCACTTGTTGGTTCAGACTCATCCTTTCGGGGTGGTGTCAGTCCTGTCAGAATTCGCGGTTTACCCCTGCTCAATATTAGAGTATAAGTGGATATAAAGTCTTTCAAACACGCTCGATTTTTCGAACACGATGGCCTAGCCTATTATTTTTATTTGTACATTTTGAGTTCATAAATATGGAAATAACAACTAATAATATAAAATGGTTGAACATTTGTGTTAGTTATATTTTATTTAACGTCAAATGGTAGTCCTGTCAGATCGATAATTAAAATGTTGATTCTTAGACTTCATCTTTCTCGGGTTGATGTTGCCGTAGTAACTTTATTCAAAAACTCTCATTTGAAAGTTGGCCACACTGAGGCGTTGTTTGAATACGAAAATGTTTCGTTATGAATATTCGAGCATTGATCACTGACGTAACGTAACGTATTTTCAATTTGATTGAGGTTAAGCTCAAACTAATTTTATGAAGCAAGAAATTATAACTACAACTTTCTTTCCTTCAACACAAACCGAGATATGGATTCCTACACAAGCATATAAGATCGTCAGAACATGTGAAATGCACGACTAGGTTGTCGTTTGAATCTCGTTTTTAGTGCAATTTTGAGGGAAAAAATTAATTTTGTGGACCAAACAGTTTTATAAAATTATGATTTTCATTTCATTTAATTTTCATTTTATCAGTGGTATATTGTTTTTCAAACTTGGGATTTCAGATACTGTCTGTAGGTTAATCGAGGAGGTGATACATTCATTTTCACAGATTTTTTGAAAGAAAGAATCTCAAAGAATCTGAAAAAATGAAGTGGCATTCTAGATTTATTATTCAACACATTTTATTTGCCATCCTCAGTGCTATTGAAACACATTTTATTTGCCATCCTCAGTGCTATTGAAACACTTTTTCTTTTCTTGAAAAAGAAAACACAATCGATTTAGGTGGGTGATCCATCTATCCATACTTTTTACAGTTTACAAAAAAAATATTATTCTAGGGATACGTGAATTTTCGGAAATACAATGAATAGAGTGATCAGTACATTTACATCAAATTGAAGGCTGTGTTGATTTTTTGGATTCGTATGGTATCTGTTCGAATTTTCAGAGAACAGTGAATGTTTAGGTATAGGGACTGCTACATGAAACTACCAAAGCATCTGTTTGAAAACTTCAAAAATAGAATGTTTCACTCGGAATGAAGACGCTGGAGTCTACATTCGGAAAATAAAATGAAGCCAGAGTTTGAGTTGATATTTTCATTCACGCAAACCCATACATATCCACGAATTATATTGGATGATATTATGATAGATAATAAGGCCCAAGATCATAATAAATATATTATTTAATTTCATATTTTCAGCATCTCAGTATCAAAGCATCAGTATAGATCAAACTGGTCTAGTTATACTCCAAATCATTTGGACTCAGCACTAGTTTCGAATATGCATCGTCTATTCAGTGAAAGAATAGAAATATTTTCTTCAGTGGAATTCAGTAAAGTATCGATTCTTACTGGTATAATTAAGATAAGTTTAAAGGTGAGTTGATATCGCACACATGTCCTTCCAAAACAAATTATGGCATTTCTTTATCATTGGAAATACAGTTTCATGAAACTGAACTTTTTTCAGACATTCATGGAATGTGTAAGACTTAAGACTTTTAGTAAATATGGACTACAGCAAATTCAAGTTGATACCCACTACTTGCAGTTGTACTTATGGAGATTTGTAGCAGATGAGAAGTAAGTGAATCTCCAGATTCTCTAGAATATTGAATGTGAATGTTTGGTAGCCTGAAATTGACCAAAGTCATGATAAAAATTTTCGAGACTCCAGAGGTTAGCTTTTTCATTGGTTTATAGATAGATGGTTTGTTTTATTAATTTTAGTTTTGAAATTTTCCTGAAATTATTTAAGTGTGGTCATGAATAGTTACCGAAAGACCAAAATTATTCGATAAACAATAGTTTAGTCAACATAGCATTATTCATGAGTTCAAAATGAATGTTCAGATCTCCCAAAATTACCACTTTTTTGTGCATTCTTGGAAAGGGTTGCATTAGGCGTTCCAGGTTATCAATAAATTTTTTCAATTTCCCGGAAGGAGATCCTTTCCAATTCCTGAAGCAGAATGCCATAGAAATCGGTATTCAGAATGCATTTGAATGGAGGAGTCCTAATGACTTTTTTGTCTTAAATAAAATGCCACACCTCCGATTTAGTATTGTTTACTACAAAAGTGATTTACAAGTCTATATCCAGGTATATAAATTGTTATTGAAATATATTCTCTCCGCCAATGCTCGATTGAAAAATATACATCACATTCATATTTATCAAGAATTTGACATCAATTTGACACACAGTGTTTAGATGAAACTCAATATGATTTCATAAAGAAGCGACCCCTTCTGATTTCAATAAAATCCATAATGGGCGTTCAAAGTGAGTCATGCTTGGGCACTTCACCTCGGGACGTCTTTGGAATGTCCTAATTCGTCAAAAAAATACTGGATTTTTTCTACCCATGTATTTTTTCGATTCATTTTCTAGAAATTTGTTGACACTGATTTCAAAATAGTATTATTATTTTTTTTATTACTCAACTATGATCATCACTCAAATATCTTTCAATTTAATATTTTTTCAGAATTTTTCGGTTGATTTTAAGATTTTAAATTCATCAATAATGCCACGATAATTTTCAAACAGCTAGCAATTCATCGCGAGTAAAAACTGACGTCAGGATTTCGTAAGTATGGCAGACCATAGCACAGTTGCCATATATTGACATACGACTGGGAACTTCAGGAATATAAGTTTTTCAATTATCCATAAATTCCAAAATGTTCCCTCATGTGTTGTTGCTAATTGCTCATAATACTTTTGTGTAAATAATAATTATTACAGATAGAGAGAAACTTGAAGTCATTACCACAATAGTTCATTAAATGAACGAAAATGGTAGGTAACGAGATAACGCCTGAGTGGTTCAGGGACGCGTGACTACCTGCAAACCGTTTTCGAGCTGTTGGCTCTCATCAGTACAGGGCTGTCCCAGATAGCTTCTTGATCGCTATCTGGTGCGAACCTGACCCAGTGTAAACGCATCTCAGCATTTATACCCCACGAGGCGTTCAACGTCCGCTAAATGAAACGCGAACGCCGAACGCCACCGGACAAGGAAAGAAACACTCCAAAACAAGATCCCATTTCAGGCGAAATGGGAGTGGCTGGTTGCTCGACTGGCGTATTTCCTAGTTAATAATTATTATTATAATTCACACTAGAGGACATTTGAACCGGTGAATGTCTTCAACGTCTTCAATGTCTTCAACATTCACATGATACTTTGTTTTGGAGTATACGAAATATTTGGACCTGCTGGTTGCTCAAAAATGGCAAGAATGAACTATGCTATCATGGCTTCCTCCTATTATCTTCTATCTATTTTTATTTAACGACAGGACTGGCAAGACTTCAATTTCTTTTTGATAACTTGATAATAATTGGTGACTTGACAACCTTGCTTCATGAGTAGTGGGAATGTAAGATTGACCAATAACGAAACAGCATAAAAGCTGACGTCACTATTTATTCGACGTATTGCCAAATAGCGGCCATGACGGTACAATTGAAATGAGCTCTGAAATTCAACGTCTTTGAACAACGCATAGACTCACTATTTACGTATAATGAGCATGCGACAGGTGTTGCAAAAATCAATTTAGGTCCTTAACGACACAGTGGAAAATTGAGTGCCAATAATTCATTATCAGTCCACTCGCCCATTAGAGCAACTGTTTGACAGACCAGTTAACTAGGAATACTTTATGCTATTTTATTATTGGTACACCTTGAGATATAAATATGGAAAAAAACAGCTAATAATGTGAAATGTTTGAATATTTGTTGCTGATATTTTATTTGACGTTACATGGTACTCCTGTCAGATCAAAATTTCGACATCTTTAGGCTGCCGTGGTAACTTTATTTTTGAAAGTTGGGTTTAAACACGCTGAGGCGTTCTTTAAATGAGCATAGTAGGGTACCGATAAAAATATAAGTGTTTGCAATTCATTTGAAGGTTGATGAGAAATGAATAAAACAACAAAGCAGAATATAATGAGCGGGAGCGTAATAGCGCGGAAAATAATTCATTTCAGGAAAAATTACTATCGGATAGTATGAGTCTATACTCATTCCAGCTAATTTGATACAGAATAAAATCAAAAATAGCTTTTTGATTATCCATATTAGCCTCCTAATTCGAAACGTTTTTGGAAACAAATCTAATTTCTAAGCATTTTAGATAGAATTGTGACATTAATAAGTGTCTGTTTTTTCGTTTTCTAATAATTACAAATATATCCGAGATGATATGTTTCGCAAAATTCATTTGCATAATTTTAGATTGCATTCACCAGAATTTCAACTGGTTTTGCATATTTAGGAAATATACTTAATTATTCTATTCGTGGTCACTTTGACGACCTGCAGAACATTTCTTTTCAAAGACTCGTTCACCCCACGAACAGCGAGGCTCTGAAACACATTGCCAAGGGAGGTGTTCCACGAGATATATAACCTCCACAAATTCAAGAAGAACACCAATTCCTACTTTATTTCCCTTGGTTCCCACGATGTTCTCTGAACATTACTGGATATCCATTTTCGTGAGAACCAGAACATAAAAAATATGAGTAGATATCTATTTTGATGCCATTGATTTTTATAATTATTATTTGATTCTTTTCAGTTTGGTACATTTCCTACTAGATGAAATTTTGAGTTCAGCTGTCCATAGATGTTTGGAACCAGCTCTGATGGAACCTAGTGTTGTTGACATTATTTGTGAAAGAGGCTAAACAAACTTTGTAAACGGGAAATTATGCAGTGATGTGTGGAAAATGTGATTTTTGTTTATGTGATTATATTTGATTCCATTTTATTCCATAATATTCAGATTGTTATGTCTATTTTAATGAAGTGAACATATATAAATCCTTAATGTTATCCATAATTTATTTATATTACTTATAGCAACCCTTTTTTATGTAAATTGAACCAATAAAAGTTGAGAATATTAATACACCCAAGTTTCATTTACACGGAAGTATACATGAAATCACCACGCAGAAAAGTGTGACTCAGAACTATTCAGGTTATTCAGTTAAACTTGTTTGCTGCATTTCAAACTCTGCTTCCACGAAAATTATACCAATATTCGATATTCGCTTCTTTTTCAGTTGGAAACAATCATTTGCCGAAACAATTGTTTGAAGGTATAATTGTCAAAGCCTCATTGTAGTTTGAAACAGCCGATGTGATTTTGTTGCCCCAGAGTTCTAAGTGATTGCTTAGTAAACGAACATGATTGCCATGTCTTTTGACGAGGATTCAAAAGTCTTCACATTACCAAACTTTCTCACATTGTTGAAATACAGTTCAATAGTTATATTGTCATAACTAAGTTATACCTCAAATGATATAATATTTTGCTGGAAATATTCGGCTATTGTTATGACAGCTTCTTGACTAATAATTTCGCGAGTGAGATTGTTTATCGAAACTATCGAGCCATAGGTGAGAAAGTTTGGAACAATGTCATTACTGCAGAGCAAGCTCGAGTATGTCAATCGGCGAATATTTCTAGGAAAAGATGGTATCACGAATTGTATTCCTATGACTATTTCATAAGTGATTGATTCAGTTATTAATAAATGCTGATACAGAAACTTGAAAATCGAAATTAAATAGGTACCTACTTATATTATAATTGTTGCTATAAATTTCAATAATTTCGCTGAAAAACGAGGTTGTCTGGGTCATGTGTTGACCGACTCGGCCTAGGTCTATAAAAACAAGTTACGCTCGAAATACAAAGGTACTTTATGCACGGTCGGTATATTTGATTCTTCATTGTGAATACTTTTTTACCTCTTCAGCATGATATAAATACATAGGGCACCTTCAGAGAAAGCAGAAGAAGCCAGAGACGGCAGCAAATACCAAAGAAGTTTCAAGATTTCAAAACTACATTTAGTTCTGATTCATATTAAAATCATATTGTCAAAAACATAATCCACATGGATTAAATTATGAAATATAACAAACTTTGAATGATAGTAAACTGCCCAGGCAAAATTAGATGTAGGCATTGTTTGTTGAAGGAATCATGTACATATCATAGTCAGTCAGGCATATACAGGGTGGGCCACCAGTAACGCCTCGGTCTCTAGAACTCTAACCACTTATCTTCTTGGAATTCTTCTTCTCTAGGAACTTGCATGTCAACATAGGCTACCATTTAAAATTATTTCGAAACATACAGGGTGTCCCCAAAAACCATAACACACTGAAGTTAAACGTTTTTCTATCGAACACCCTATATATTATTTCATTTTGAGATTCTCCCTGATGAGCTGATTTCAACGACTTATCATCCTTGGGGTCTAGCAGTTATAATTACTGTAATATATAGGGTGTGAAAAATCAAGATTTTCCAAGTTCAGGAATTTTTTTGTGTCGAAACTATTCATAATTAATTAATTATTCATATACCGGGTGATCAAGATTCTGAATTCTGCATCACCCTGTATTTGTTTCAATTAAATGTCAGTAGATAATTGATCAAAAGTTGAGATAGGGACATGTGAGCCGTTTTGACCAATTATGAATAGTTTCGACACAAAAAATTCTTGAACTTGGAAAATCTCGATTTCTCACACCCTATATCTCAGTAATTATAACTGCTAGACCCCAAGTATGATGGATTGTTGAAATCAGCTCACCAGGGAGAATCTCAAAATGAAATAATATATAGGGTGTGCGATTGAAAAAAGTTCAACTTCAGTGTTTTGTGATTTTTGGGGACATCCTGTATGTTTCAAAATAATTCCAAATGGTAGCCTATGTTGACATGCAACTTCCTAGAGAGGAAGAATTACAAGAAGATAAGTGGTTAGCCTTATAGAGACCGAAGCGTTACTGGTGGCCCACCCTGTATAGCTAGGAAAATAGGCATACACATTCATAGAAATATATTGTAGAAAACCAGGTAGACAAATAATGAGAAATAGTTCCATAGTAATGTGATACAAATTCAGGGAATATTTTAAGCTAAGAAAGGGGATGTGATGATCTGCGCACATGTGTACAATTGTGAGGTGGTAGAGAAACGAGGAAAGCAGCTCTCTTGCCTGGGACGTTCTAACGAGAACATGTAAGCATAAAAGAAACTGTGATAAATAACGGGTCGTGACTGGAATTATATGAATTTAAAATAATAATAATAATAATAATAATAATAATAATAATAATAATAATAATAATAATAATAATAATAATAATAATAATAATAATACTAGGATCATTGCGTCTACTCAGGGCACACGGTACTTGGTCCCAGTGATCACTCACCTCACAGGCTGTGAGGAGTAGTCACGGGATTTTATCCAGCACGACTCTGCGTGACGTCGGAGGCCGCAGGGTCGTGACTGGAATTATATGAATTTAAAATAATAATAATAATAATAATAGTGCCTATGCTCCGGGGGATATTGAGTCCGTTGTGGAGAATGAGAGGTGCCGAATTTATTGGAACTTCTCATTCCCCACCCTCAGGCAAATTCAAGCTAACAAGCCTGATGTAGTCCTCCTCGACCATCAAACCAAAGCGATGTTCGTGATCGAGTTTTCGGCGCCAGCCGAACCGAACATCGTTTTGAAGGAGGAGGAAAAACGGACTAAATATCGAGATCTTCTCTTCGAACTCCGCCGGCTCTATCCAGACCATTCTGTGGAATTGGTCATCCTGATTATCGGCTCCCTAGGAGGCACACGACACACGCTGCTCTCGGAGATCCAGAAAATCCCAGCGTGCCGTGATAAGGCACACAACCTGGCTGGTGGAATGCAGAAGGCCGTCATACTGGGATCATTGCGTCTACTCAGGGCACACGGTACTTGGTCCCAGTGATTACTCACCTCACAGGCTGTGAGGAGTAATCACTGGATTTTATCCAGCACAACTCTGCGTGACGTCGGAGGTCGCAGGGTCGTGACTGGAATTATATGAACTAAAATAATATAATAATAGTAAGAAGGAAGGCCCGCATCAAAGCTGCAGAAGTGAGAAAGCTCCTGCAGCTTCACATGGATAAGCCCATGCATTCGGTCTACTTCAAGACCATTGAAGACCGGGGCTTATCCAAAGAACTGACTTTTGCTTTTCTGAAGTCAGGCGGGCTCAAATCGGAAACAGAGGGGTTCATCATGACATGCCAGGATGGGGTTTTTAACACTCGTCTACCGTAGCCGTGTCATGGGTATGGAGGTCCCTGACACAAGTTGCAGGGCCTGCCGCAGGGCGCCCGAGACAATTATGCACCTGCTGTCTTCTTGCACGGTGTATGCAGTCTCGACCTATATCCATAGACACAATGCGGCATTGCGAGTGCTCTACTACTATTTGAGGCACTCGTACGGAATAGACGAGACCCCAGTGCTGCCCTATGCTCGTTTTCGGCGCCGCAGGCTCTATCCAGAACATTGTGTGGAATTGGTCATCCTGATAATCGGCTCCCTAGGAGGCACACGACACACGCTGCTCTCGGAGATCCAGAAAATCCCAGCGTGCCGTGATAAGGCACACATCCTGGCTGGTGGAATGCAGAAGGCCGTCATACTAGGATCATTGCGTCTACTCAGGGCACACGGTACTTGGTCCCAGTGATTACTCACCTCACAGGCTGTGAGGAGTAGTCACTGGATTTCATCCAGCACGACTCTGCGTGACGTCGGAGGCCGCAGGGTCGTGACTGGAATTACATAAATTCAAATAATAGTAATAATAATAATAATAATAATAAATAAATTTTATTTCAAGGAATACTACAATATATAAACGTGATCACATAAAGTAGGATTAAATGAAACAATAGTCAACAAAAGAATATGATATTCACTTGTAAGTTCTACAAATATTTCTGAGATCATTTGATTCGAAAGTTCATGAACTCTGTCTCATCATATGGTTCGATGTTAACCAACAACTTAAAAATTGTTTTCTTGAATTTTGCTAATGATTTTATCGATTTGATGTCACTAGAGAGTTTGTTATAAAATCTAATACAAGAGTATAATGCACTGGACTCAGTTAATCGCAATCTGTGTGCTGGATATGTGTAGTTAGAGTGTCTGGTATCATGTTCTGTCTGAGATTCCATATTTATAAATAATCGTTTATTTTTGAAAATGAATAATAGGCACTCTTGTTTGCATGGTAAACCATCTTAAGTGTATGGTACTCGACATATTTAGCAATAATTCTTATATTATAATCAGACGAGTTCAATTTTCCACTGATATTATTGATGCGATTCATCCAACTCAATTTAGTATCAATGTGCATTCCTAGGAATTTCACATATTCTGACATGCTCACATTTTGATTATCAGTTTCAATATGTGCTGGAATATCAGATCTGGGATGATTGGTTGTGATAAACAAAAAATTAGTTTTGCTTTTATTCAGAATTTGTTTGTTCATTGTAAACCACTCATTTGTTACTTTGAGAATATAATTAACATTAATTACCAAATCCGGAAACAGTTCACCACGGACCAATAAGTTTGTGTCATCTGCATAGTTGGTGAGACAACATTATTTGCTCTGATCAAGATTTTCTATCAGGTCGTTGATGTAAATTATAAAAAGTAGAGGGCCTATAATACTGCCTTGTGGAACACCAGTGTTCGAGATTTCATTAATATCTGATTTGACTGTTTTGTTGTCTTTTCTTATAACTACTCTTTGCTTTCTCTCCAACAAATATGACCTAAACCAACTAAGCGCAGGTCCTCT